TTAATTCACTAATCACTCACTCACATAATTTTAACTAACCATCACTTCCAATCATTTTTCTCTTACTTTATATCAAATCAACTTTAATTATTTTATTTAAATATTAATTTAATATATCCACTAACAACTAATCATATCACATTCTTTTAAAATTAACTATAGTTAAAAAAAAAAAAACAAAATAAAAACTAGTTGAATCTATAAACAATCACTCTCTAATAGTTTAATAAATGGCTTGATGCTGCACATATATATTTTGATGCTTGCAAATGATTTGGTCACATGGCTGAGAGACCACTTCCGTTTTCTACATAAACTAAATAAGCTTCATTCAGTCTGTCACATAACACCATATCCATATATTTTGTTAGTATATATTCTCTCTTATTTTTCCTCCAAATTGTTTTTTTTCTTTTTCTTTTTTTTTTCTGTTTCTTTTTCCCAAATGAAACTCTTTGACCGGTTTCGGAGGACTGTAAAGGGCTCCGGTGGCAGGGGCAGTCGGACGCCGGAGGATGTGGCGGCAACGAGGCGTAGGTCCTGTGATCATGGAGCGGCTGATACGGCCAAGACATCAAACAGTTCTTATAGTTATTATTATAATTATTATTATTGTTATAGTTATTCCTCAGATTCACATCATAAAGAAGCAATTGAGGACTGCATAGAGTTTTTCAACAGGTTCTCAGAGAGTGGTGTATTATATGGTGCCAAGAGAATCTGATTCATCATTAAGCTCAAATATTTTGGTTAAAAAAACCAACTATATACATGGTTTCTTTAATTATATGTGGGGTTTTTTTTATTGTTTTTCTTTGTTCTTTTAAATTTTTAATTGTGTTTCAACATTGGAGATCCATGGGTGAGCACATAAATTATTGATTTGTGGATTGGTGAAGTTCTTTTATTCTACTTTTGCATGTAAAATTCATGATATTTATTAAATAATATTGGGATTTTTTTTTTTTTTTTTGGTACAAAGGAGGAGGCCAGAGGCCCAAAATCTACGATAAGACTAGAGTACGTCGGGGGTAGGATACCCCCATAAGATCATGTTGAAGCCACGCCCCCATTCCAGCGGGTGGCGAGAGAATCTGATGGAGTCCGACCGAAGAGTAGGCTGCTATGCTAGCCATATGGTCTGCCGCGAAATTAGCTTCTCTATGAACATGTTGAATTTTAACACTCCATTCTCGGTCTAAAAGGCTGCGAGTAGCCTTCACGAGCGCAGCATGATTCCCAAGCCTCTCGTTCTTCCTGCTCACCAATTGCATTGCGCATTGGCTATCTACCTCAACAATAACTCGCCGGTGACACAAATCTCAAGCCAAAAGCAACCCTTGCAATAAACCCCAAAGCTCGGCACCCGTAATGGTGGAATGAGATTTAATGCTATTTATTCACTCTTTCTTTTCCTTTTTCTGGCCTTTTATATATGTTTATGTATATATCATATATATCAATCAACATATATGAACTGAGAAAACAAGAGTAATTAAAAACTAACAATCAAGAAATTAAGCATCCTTTGACAGTTATAGGTATGGTCAGTAAAATTTATTGAAAAAAGCATATATCACACATGCATATATAATTATATATATGCCACAAACTTTTTAATAAAATGAAATTTTGTTTCTAATTATTATCATTATTATTATTATTATTATTATTATTATTATTATTATTATTATTATTATTATTATTATTATTATTATTATTATTATTATTAATCCAAACTTCAAGCAAAGGCAACTTCATATTTCCCACTCTTCTTAGAGAACAGACCTCTAATAAACTCAGCAACTTGCTTCTTTTTCTTCTTCTTGATAGAGCTTTGTCTTTGGAACACACTCTCATCATCACCCGCGTGATTCGGCAAAACTATTTGCGCCACACAAGGAGGATTTGCGAATCTCACGTATTTTTTCCTTTGCGAATCGGATTTATAATTACGGTCACAATTGTCGATGATCATCCTATGATCGGTCTCTGTTATCATAAGTCCCGCATTTGTGTCTTCTTCAACAAACTTGACTTCTTCTAACAAGTCCGAGTCCAACTCAATCCGATGCCTATGATGATCTTTATTATGGTCCCATAATTCACATGTCTTCAATTGTTGAAGCTCGATTCTGGTCCTCTCGAGCTCTTGTTGTAAGAAAAAAAGTGTTGTGGCCATTTCCATGCTTTCCTCGCGCGCTTTTCGGAGGCTTTGTTTTGCTTCTTCTAACTCGTCGACCTTCACATTTGTATATTTTCCGATGACCGCCGTCCCTTCATGCATCTGTATAAAAAAATATATAATTGCACGAACATTTTAGATGGCTATTAAGTATAAGGAATAATTAATCAGTATGCTAGCTGCAAACAGAATATTAATTTTAAAAGTAACCATGTAACATTAAGGATGTATAAGTAGTAGTTCTATTTGTATCTAACATATGAATAGTAGTCTCATGTAATTTTTAATTGACCAATTTTTTGTGTGTACTATCATATTTTCATTTCTAAAGCCAAAGTGAAGAAAATAAATATAGTATAACAAGTTTCTGTGTGTGGTTGATTTGTATTGGCATTCCCTATAGAACAAGCAAAGTGTAAATATATATCATACTTTAATTATTCCTTATTGTGTGTGGTTCACTGCAAAAAAAACTCTTACATTCAACGAAAATTTTGCGTTAAAATTTTTTATATTTTCGCTGGAATAGCTATTCCAACGGATATTCCTACGTATAAAATCCGTTGGAAAAATGGCCGTTGGAATAACAAATATCCAACGGAAAATCCTATGGAAATAAATTCCTACAGCTATTCCAACAAAAAAAATCCGTTGAAATTCCTCAACTATCTATCACTTATTTCCAACATAAAATTAAGTTTGTTGGAATATTCATTGGAATTTCCAACGAAAATTTTTGCCGTTGGAATTTTTCGTTGGAATTGTAGTGTTTTTTTGTAGTGGTTGGTTTGATAGTCATATTTTTTTAATATATATATACATATTTTTATTTTCAAATATCATACTTTAAATTATAATATAAACAAAAGTGTATTTTTTTTTTTTTTTT